AATAATTTTTTAATAAAAAAATTATTATATTTGTTTCGTTTTTATATTTGTTAAATTGTGCGTCGATAATCACTCGAGATAAAAATGTTCAGTCTCTCAGAGTTTCTGAAAGCGAGACTCGAGTCTCCGTCTTTTATCGAGTTTCTCTGGTGTCGCTGAGAGAAAAAACTGTTTAGCGTCTCTGAACGAGAGACTCGAATCGCTCATAGAGAGATCCCCATTTTGTATCCAATCTCTGAACGAGAGACTCGAATCTCTTAATAAGTGTTGTCTCGATAGACATGGTTAAAATTTTCAACATATTTTAGAGATCCCAGTCTTTCTACGAGAGACACCAGTCTCTCAATTTTTCACTTTTATTCGTTCAGTCTCTCTGTGAGAGACTCGAATCTCTGAATTAACAATTTTATCGTTCGAGTCTCTCATACAGAGACTGTGAGAAATCCATAAAAACACCTAGGCAATAGCTGAGAAACCCTGAAAGACTGTGAGAGACGCTCTCAGAGACATTGAAAGACTGGAGAGTGACTGAGAATTTTTGTCTAGGGCACTTATACGCAAAAATATTGATCAAACCTACGCTGTAAACCTGTTGAAGCTACTAAAAAAGCTAAAGACATCACAAAATGCTGAGTCGATTTTAACCTAATTAGACAGAACAAATAGAGCTCCAACCACCCCCAAAAAATTGAAAAACGAGTAATCGTCAAGGAGTTTACTACCTAATACAAGGAAAAATGAGGAAAAAATTCGGAAATTCAAAAATTTGGTTTAAGACGACAGGCACCCTACATAGATGTTACATTTCGGTTAAAACAATAAACAAATTCTTATAATAATAAATTATTAAACGTACGGGTATATTTCACCCTCTAGACCATTGCCGTCTTCATCTCTAGTAGAAGGGTTAAATGAAAATTCTCTAGATCCTCCATTGGCTAAATTAGGTTTTGAAGAAATTCTGAAACATTACGTAAATACACCTATATAATATAGGTTGTAATAAAGAAGCATTATAAACTGTTAATATTAATTCAATAAACCTACTCATAACTATTATCACGAATATTGCCACCAGATTCAGGAGGAGGAGGATTGAAAATAAAATTTGTTGGCCTTCGAGTGGATAAATCAGACTTTTTAGTACTCCTAAAAGTTAACGTTTAAGTAATCTCTTCAAGTATACGTATGAATAGAAATAGTATGTATACTCACAATTAATCGAAATATTACAAGTAATAGTTTTTGTTTATAATCTTTTATGTATGCTTGACGTTAGTTTAAATAACAGTGACACAATGATTTATTTGAAAGATTACTTACGAATGCGAAGTTCTCTCGTTCTTCCTAAAGGTGGGAGATCCATCTTCTTCCATCATTTTCTCATAAATATCTGTTGTTCGTCTAAAATAGACAACTTGTTAGAAGCAACAAGATTATTTTTAACAGGTTTAATGTTATCTGTCTTCTATGCTTCTCCATTAGAAATTTTAACATTGATAATATTGGGATAAACTAATACGACTGTGCCAAAATAAATAAGTCGTGAAAAGGTGAAAACCCAAATTTAATTCCTTTGAGTTTTCTAACTTTTCATTATTTAATTATAACATGTGTTTTTCATCACTAGCTAGGACGCAAAGTAGCCAAGTTCTGATTATTTTATCAACATAAAAAAAAAGAAAATCATTATGCTGGCTACAATTAACAAATTTTCCAAGCGTGAGTTTTCCTGGCTTATATTTAACTAACTACTGATTATAAACTTTCCAGTTTTGATTAATTTTCACCAAAATTATACACCTAATCATAACTTTGGTTTCAATCAATTACTAAATTTTCATCTTAGTCTCAACACATGAAATGAAATTCTTTACGTATGACGAGAAGATTATAGTTCGATATTCGGGATTGATGACTAACGGGGAGCAGGATTGTCTTTTCTTCTTCGGCGAGTCTAATTCCTTGGCATATACATATGTTGGCACCCTCCTCAGGAATACGGCAAGGGCGTTGTGGTAAATCAATCAATCAATCCTAAATATCGAACCCTTTTCTTCAGGTGTGGAATTGTATAGAATTTTAACTAACTGTATGATTATATGGAAAACAAGAAGATGATAAAATAAATAGAAACATTTGATTTTTTTAATTAAGAAGAATGGCACTACAGAAAACACAAAAGCACTCCAACCAAGGGATATATCCATATTTGCCTATGCTTTATCACAATTTTATAAACCTCCATCTCTAAACATTATAAATGTGGTAGATGAAGTGGAAGTGGACAGCAACATGTCTTTTACTTAATGGTTTTAGTTATTAAAATACCTTCTGTAATATCTGAAGTAGTATGCAGCCGCAGCCACAACAAAAAGGCCCAAAAGAATGCTTAACACAATGACTGAAACAAGATAACCGGTTGTTGTTGCCGAAGTGGCCGTTGCACTTCTAGAAAATGCCGTCCAAGAAATTGCACCGTAAGCGTCAGACGTGTTGGCGGATGCAATTGCTCTGGAAAAAAGAGTCAGACCAATACAAGATACCAAATGAGTTTCGTCAATATAAAGATGCTTATACACTATGCGTCCAAACGCCAACGTATCGCAAGTGCTACAGACGAACACCGCGGGCTGCGATCGATATCGCAGCGGTGACTAATGTATAGCGCTGGCGAGAGCAGACAGCTACTGTCATAATCATTAGTCATTCGGGGGCCCAACATAGACTACAGAATAACAGTCACCGACGAGAAGCTTTCCGGAACTATTTAAGAATGCGTGATATTTACGATAGCGACAAAACTTAAATTTTTAGAAAAAAATTTCATTAATATTTCTCTTTGAATTTCTCGCTAGTTTGGATCCATCTTTACATTAACGTTCCCTATAAAAACTTAAGGCAAATAATGTACAGATTTACTATTAAGAAGCACATTCACGCGACCGTTTCTGCATCAAGCAGAATGCAAATCTTTGTGCAAACAGCCATCGAATCCGGTTTAACAGTAGACAATAAAAAAGAACCATTAGTTGTCTCTATACGCATTATACCATGATATACCTCGATTCCAGACAGCACATTTCACTGTACAGTGTGTTTTCACTGCATAAAAGTTTTACATTCATGGACGTGAGTAACTAAAGTCCTCGAGGAAATACGAAAATATTAAAGGAGCAGGTTCGACTGCATCCCCCGATTTAATAAATTAATAATTAACAATCAACTCTGAGGATGCCGTGTACACTAAAGATAAAACGTAAACAGTGGTGGTGATATAAAATTATTTTCTTGTCCCAAACTTGACTCTGATTTTTATAATATCTCACAAGGACATAATATTTAAAAGTATTTTTTGATAATTAACTACTATTCTTCAATTTATTTGAAGAAATGAGTAGTTATTAAATATGTTAATCGTTGAATGAGTACAGACAGCGCCGCGTACTGTAGGTATTTGCTACATTAGTAGATAGTTGATTTCAATAATGTTCAACAATAATTAGTGGCAAAAACAAGGAATAGAAGCAAACGTTAAGTGAAACTTACTCTTGTAGGTTCTCTGTTTCAATCAAATTGTTGTTAGAATCAAACGCATATGTAATTAATTTTAAGGCGTAATCGGAAGCCGCCCTTAATCTCCTCGATTGAACGCTGCTAGGTATCACGCTCGCTGTTAATCCTTTAACGGAATAACCGGACGCTGCTGAAATTGTTTCTAATACAGTATCAGCATCCTCTAGCGTTGCACCAGGAACTATTACAATAGTAAGGTGTTCATCTTCCAACTTTTTCACCTAAAGGATACTAAATATATTTAAATAGAATGAAAAGTATGTTAAAAAATTCACCTCAGTTAATACAACTGTGGAAGAAGTTAATTAATACAAATTCTAAGATTTTACTTCCTCATGTTTCAATTTATTGCAAGTTATTTTGAAAATAATATTCTTTTATGACTTGTAGGCCATACCAACGAATTTCGATACAGTTTAAATAAATAAGTCAACAATATTCAATATCGAACATTCGAACCTGAATCCTTAAAGTTGAAGAAAGTCCATCGCTGCTACCATTTCTGTCAGTTGCTGTAACCGTATATTCTTCTTGGTCACCATCGTCAAAAATATTTGCACCAATATAAACAACCCCGGTAGATTCATGAACCACAATGGAATCACTATCAGTGGAATATCTTACCAATGAATTTAAACCTATATCTGCATCAGTAGCCTAAAAAGTCAACAATTTCTGCTTAACAAAAGCCGGAAGAAGACGCAAAAATACAAGAAGACTTTACTTCAACTGTTACAAGTGATGCAGGTGCAACATCTGCAACAATATCATTTTCAGGATATCCAACTACCACCAAGGATCCCGCTGTAAATACTGGACGATTATCGTTTATATCATCAACGATTACGGATACAACCGTGTCTTTAGGAACGTTATAAAGTTTTTCTTCTACATTGACCCACGCTCTTGCTTCTTCTTGGTAAAATTCTCTATAAACAGGATTTTCGTAGGAATAGAAGGATGTAGCATTATCTCCAAGCGTCGGTTCAGAGGTTTCATTGATACCTATAAGCCTAACACGGACCGTAAACTGTGAAACGTACATGCCAGAAATTCCTTCCCATTCGCGATCAATAGACCCAACAGTTTGTAAACTTCCTGTGGTACTATTTATTTCGAAAACGACTGAAATAAAAAAAATAATAATACAACATCGAACACATAGCGCTACTTTTATCAAGGATTCAAAATGTTTCCCTTCACGTGCTAATTAATAAATTAATGGAAAATCGATGTTTAAATCTTTGTAGATTAGACGGTAGGTACTCCATTTAAATTATAACGGATTAGGTTTAACTTTTTTCAGTAAATTTTAAGCTCATTTTAGAATGCCTACTATAATTTCGGTTGGCCAAGATCTTAAAAGACGCTACTTTGAAAACCACATTCAAACCCCTTAGTTAGTAGTCTACATTATTAGCAATTAATTAGCGGCTAATTATGAGATCGCTTCTGGCTGTCTCTAACCGATTTTTACATGCTAACACCATTTGAAGTTGACATGCAAATTGGTTTTCAGATCGCGGCTAATTTTTGACTTTCACGGTTAATTTTCGTCGTGTCATGCCCAATTAAATGTGCCACCACTATCTCATTCGAAGTAGCGATTGTCCGGCCGTCAAGATGGAAAAAGACACTATGTATTTTGAAAAAAAAATCTACATAGGTATTTCATTTGAAGTTAGCATGAAGACCGATTTTTATTATTTATTTATTAATTATCCGACGGTTTATATTTCTGCCTGCTAATTTTGCTATGCCAAATTCAAAGGGGATTAATTGAGATCCAAAATCATAGTGCAAACTGTAGTAGTACTAAAAGTCTAGAATCTAAAAACTACTCGAGAGAAAGTGAAGAAATGTCTTTCTCATGAAATAAATAATAAAAAAATAGAAAACATTATTGAGTTTGGGTCTTCACGAAAATTAACGAAGCTTTTATAATGTGTTATACGTAAACCTTAAGATCCAACCCAAAAATAACGGATGATTAAACATGTGAGGTAAATTTTGAAAATTGTATATGTTACCGGAAATGTAAATAAAATTCCGAGGCTATTTAGGAAATCTATAAAATATTGTTTCAAAGATTTNACTGTTTCTTGTTTTAAATATTTTCTTTTAGCAAATACGGACAGGTACTTGTTTTGTTACTAAAATAATTAGTACCAATTGTATGCATAACCTTGCAACAAAGCGCATACATGTTTTGTTGCCATAAATTAATAAAGATTAAGTGACAAATTTCTTTTTAAATTGGATCAATTTTGACAGAATTATCGGAAACAATAAAGATAAAAAACAACAGGGAAGAACCTAAAGTTAACTTTGGATATTTTTTGATTTGAAAATTACTAGAAGCTAATCCACAATATAATATATACACAAAATGATTGAAAAGGTTTTTAGAAAGGAAACCGTATTTTAAACATCATAGTAAATTCTTCACTAATCGTGTATCACTTTGATGTTTTTTATCTGATTATGTTTATTGTAAGTGTGAATCACATTTTATAGAAGAATTATATTTATGAAACGTAATAGATAAAAACAAGACGTTAAATGGTAATCCATTTTCCATTAGTATATAAATCAATTAAAGGTAAGTATTTAATTAGTAAAACGATTAATCAATATAAAAATGCCAAACAGTCAGAATAAAATAGTAAATAGTCAATAGAAAAAACTAAACGGCAAATACGAAAGCGTTATCAGTGCTACCACTGGTGTAGCCTGTAGCTGTAGCAACGAGATAGTAAGAACCACTAGTAATGTAATCACTTGTTACTAGTTCTCCTGTTTGTTCGTTTATAGTAAGCTGAGAGGGTAAAGTAGAGCCTGAAAACGATTATCTCAATGGGCAAAAATGTACGTTTTGAATGCGTTGATGTATTAGATTACCGTTACTTGCGGCAATACTGTAAATTATACTTTCGTCCATTGAGGATGTTGCAGAAACCGAACCAATTACCCCAATCGCGTGAAGAGGCTGAAGACCGAAAGTATAATACGAATTATCGAAGTTTATAATAGCGGTAGAAGGCTGTGTTGTAGGTGCTAAAACAGGAATTATGATTTTATAAATCATACATATTTCGTTTTTTCTAAAACTACTAACGTAAGGTAAACAATAAAGGCATTATTGAAATTTTCAATAAAAGAAAAAATACTATAAGACAAGCAAAAATCGAAACCCAATTTTAAGTCTTCTTATCAGACTTGTGGATTCACTTGCTAATCGTAAGAGCGACAGAGGGTCAATTTTGAACAATAACATTTATAATTATTTCTTTTTTTATTAGCACATGTGTAAAACGAAGATGATAGAAAAAAAACCGATAAATCATTGACTCCGACATTTCGAATTTTTGAAATTTCGGAAGTCAATAATATTAAGCTTCCAATTGATGCCCAATCCAATAGGATAAAATAGAATTGTACGAAAATTTATATTTTGGTGTTGATGTACCTTCTGTATAGGTGTAAGTAGTATATGTGACCGGTGTGTTTGAAGTGAATGTGGGGGTAGTAGGGCAATCACAAGTACTCGGTGGGCATTCGGTTGTCACAATAGGACTTCCAGTTGTCACAATTGGATATTCAGTTGNTGTAAGACAAGCAAAAATCGAAACCCAATTTTAAGTCTTCTTATCAGACTTGTGGATTCACTTGCTAATCGTAGGAGCGACCGAGGGTCAATTTTGGACAATGACATTTATATTTATTTCTGTTTTTATTACCATATGTGTAAAACGAAGATGATAGAAAAAAACCGATAAATCATTGACTCCGACATTTCGAGTTTTTAAAATTTCGGAAGTCAATAATATTAAGCTTCCAATTGATGCCCAATCCAATAGGATAAAATAGAATTGTACGAAAATTTATATTTATAGTATTGATGTACCTTCTGTATAGGTGTAAGTAGTATATGTGACCGGTGTGTTTGAAGTGAATGTGGGGGTAGTAGGGCAATCACAAGTACTCGGTGGGCATTCGGTTGTCACAATAGGACTTCCAGTTGTCACAATTGGATATTCAGTTGTTACAGTTGGATATTCAGTTGCTACAGTTGGATATTCAGTTGTTATAGTTGGACATTCAGTTGTTACAGTTGGACATTCAGTTGTTACAGTTGGACATTCAGTTGTTACAGTTGGACATTCAGTTGTTACAGTTGGACATTCAGTTGTCACAGTTGGACATTCAGTTGTGATTGGATTTTGTGTAGTCGAGTCCGTGACGATTGTAGGCACTAAAACAATTACAATCCCGTTGCGAAAATTGAATTCACATATAACAAAAAGAGGTACCTGTACCTGTATAATCTGTTGTTGTGGAGACTACGTCTGAAACTGTAGTGCACGGAGGACAAGTTATTGGTTGTTCTGTAGGAGTAAACGGTGTTGTATATGGTGTTGTATCTATTGGACCATTTGATGTTGGGATATCTGAAGTAAGTGTGGTGTATTCGTCACAGGGAGGGCAAGTGACGGGCGTGGGACATTCTGTTACCGTTACTACCTCGGTGGTTAACGTGGTTGGGTAGGCTGTGGTTGACTCTGCATAAATTTTCAACAAATTAAATAAGGGGTATACAATATAATATTTTATAGAAAATTACTCTCGTTCTTCGTAGAATTTAATTCACGATTAACTTCTCACGGGAAAACCGTTCAGCTTTTATTAACTTCTAGCCTTATTATTATCATCTGTGATTTTATTAACTGCCCAACATCGTTCTAAAGCGAAGAGATTCGCAACATCATTCAGACTCACATCAGAGATTCAAATCAATAAGATTTAGATTCGATCGATGTATGTACAGTGGACTCTCGTTAATTCAAACCTGCGATAATTCGAACCTTTCTATAATTCAAAGTTATCACGAGTTCCCTACAAAATCTCTTTATATTTCGAACTAAATCAATACATTTTTATGCACTTCGTAATTCGAACGAAAAAATCATTGTTACGTAACAAAACGACGCGCTAATTCGAACGCATCGGCGCCAAACACTCGACAATTCGAAGTTGCAGAGATAAAGAGACAGAAAGATTGTAAGTACATACATTTTGAGGCAAGTTCAAACGTGTATCATCGTAACATCGAACCTTTGTTTTTGTTATGATCAGTTTGACACACACTTCCGCACGAATTGGTTTGTTTAGTTATGTTTTAGTTATTGTTAGTTTTTCGTTGTATACAGATTAAAAGTTCGAAAAATTATATTTCGAACCATTTGGTATTTCAAACACTCGATAATTCGTAATATTTTAGAGTCCCTCTAGTTTCGAATTATCGAGAGTCGACTGTAGTGTAATTAAAGCTGTAAAGTAGATTAAGTTCAATATAAAATTCCACAAATTAATCGTATATGCGTTATTATATCAAAACTAAATTCACCGCTAATTAGTTTTGGTAGTGCTGCTTTATTCTGCATTACTGATAAGTATCAGCAGGATATTGCCAAATACGAGCCCTTACAAGACGATGAATTTTGAATAATACGAAAAACGAGAGCAGATTGTGAAATTCGAACCTATTGTACATTGCTCTCCTGGCAGTGTTATAACAATAACCGTATTCCCATTAGCTTCTGCACCATTACGAGTTGCCGTTACAGTAAGTAGAGCGAATTCTGTATTGTAGAGAACATCTTCCGGCAAATCACCGAGTAATATTAAATTAATTTGGTTATTTGAATAATCAAGTTCAAAGAATGTTCTGTATTCTAGAAAACAAAATCTAAATTAAATGCCACACCTAAAAACCAAAATAATTGTGTACCTCCTGCTAAAGAGAAGTTAGTATTTTGGTAATCGTTGTCATTTAAAGTTATCGACGTTTCGCCACTAATACTATCGCTGCCATCTTCATTTACAGTGTACGTTACTAAATAGTACGACGAAGCGAAAACAGGGGATGATACTCCGGGTTCAATAATATTTGATAAATCTACCACAACAACCGTGGTCCCTACATAATCAGCGGTTGCTCGAGATGCTTGGATCGGTACAAGGATATAGGAATTGGTAGTTAGAATATCATCCGGAATATTTCCAGAAAGAACTAAGTTTAGTTTATCCGATTCCGGATTACAACTGAAATAGTTGCTATAATCTACAATAGAAAATGTTACTTTAATAACTTTGTTATAGGGGCTGATTGTTAAATAACCTGGCCAGTAACACATGACATTACCGTCATTTGTATAGGTACAAGGTCTGTTCAAAAAGTAATGCGAATTTTGAATTTCCGCGGGTTACGTATATTCGATTTTCGATTTTTTTTGTGGTATTATATTGGTACTCATGCCTCTCACTTATACCGACAAGTTCGTCTATGTTGAATGTTCAGTTAATTTTGCTCAAATTTGCTCCAGAGGGTCATAATTGGTAACAAATCATGGGTTTATAGTTATGACGTGCAAATCAAAGCTCAATCATCCCAATCCAAGCTGCCGCGAGAGTCAAGACTGAAAAAAGCGCGCCAAGTAAGGTCCAATGTGAAGGTTTTGCTTACAGTTTTCTTCGATTGCAGGGGTGTGAGTTCTTGCCACAGGATAGAACGGTCAATAAAAAATATTACCTGCAATTTATGAGAAAATACCACAAATGGCGCGCTAAACGCCATCTGTAGTACGATGCTACATTTTAGGATTACGTATGCTCCAACTAATATATGGATATCTACTTCCTGAAACGAATCCCGGCGTAGCTAACCTCAACGTGATAGGCACGTTACCATAATCTAATAAAATAATTCGAAGTGGTCTGTATTCTGTCGAAACTGCCTGACGATTATGGTAACGTGCCTAACACGTTGAGGTGAGCTACGCCGGGATTCGTTTCAGCAAGTAAATATCCATATATTTAAATGGACCTTGTTGGAGCATACGTAATCCTAAAATTGGCGATATTTTCTAAAACGCACTGTTAAGACAGCAGGTAAAACTTGGTCTGTGTTCTGTCGGAGCTGTCTGCGACGCGCTGATGAGATCCAAAAAGATCGAAATCGCGATCCGCGTCTGGCAATTTCGACAGAATACAGACCACTTCAAATTATTTTATGCAATTTATGAGCAAATTTGCGTGAAGCAATCCGCCAGAAACACCCGGATTGTGAAAGAACAAAACGTCCCAGCTCAAACATCGTTGCTTGTGCGCGAATTTTTTGCCAAAAACAATAGACACGCAGCCACAATATTCCCCAGATCTGACCCCTTGTGACTTTTCTTGTTCCCAAAACTGAAGAGGCCTATGAAAGGACGACGCTACGCTACGAATGAGGAGATAAGGATGGCATCGAAGAAGGAGCTGAACAAGATCACAAAAAATAATTCTTTGAAGTGCTTCGAGGATTGGAAAAAACGTTTGCACAAGTGTATAATATCTGGTGGGGATTATTTTGAAGAGGACAAAATAGATATTCATGAATAAATAAATAATTTCTGAAAAAATACAAAATTTGCGATAGTTTTTGAACAGAGCTTGTACACAGATATTGAGAAAGCCTAGAAGTAAATAATTTGGACGATGGATTTGCGAAACTGCAGAAGTCTTTCAGCAAGTGCCTTAGACTTCGAGGAGACTATTAAAGATACTACAATTGTTTTCTGCAACATCAAACCAAGTTACTTAGCAAACTACCCTCATATCAAAGAAGTGTCTAGTATTACCTCCTTGTATTACAAATGTTGTATTTTCGTAATCGCCGTCGCTTAAAATTATGTCTGTATTTAACGTGATGTAATCATTACTGTCTGAAACTTTTGTATAAACCGCTGTATAATATGATGAACTGAACATTGGTGAAGGGGAAATAGAGTTCTCCTCGTCTACATGTATTGTGAGGGTTGCATTTGTGCTTCTAGTCCCTGGTATACTACCTCGATCCTAGAAATTTATTAATAAATAACAGAATAACTTCAGTTAACCCCAATTTAACTAAAGTAGTCACCATCCGCTTTGATTCAAATCAATTATCCATTATATATATTCATATTTCCAGCTGCAATTTTTAGAAATCCCTAAAAAAGGACGATTTTGCCTTTAAGGGAGGCATCTTTTGATTGTAAATTAACGGATGTAAGATCATTCATTTAAAGTGGGTGGCAATCTTTTCAAGAATCTTAAATGACAAGAGTGGTCAAGTGAAGCATCATTTTAAAGATGACCTTA